CCTCATTGTCAGCGTCGTAGACTTGAATGTACCTGGTCCCTCCCCTTATGTAGGTCCTGATGACATGTCTTGGTAGTTGCTGAAAATTGAAATATAGCTTTAGATTACATAGACATGTAAAATAACAACTTACTTTTGTCACCATGGAAACCTACAATAACGGAAAGGAATTTTTTACTTACAAGGGCATTTTCCCGCAGATCCATAGGGTCGGTTACTACAAGGTCTCAGACTGCATCGTATTGCTCCTCATACACAGGGGTGTAGACCATGCAATGTTTCACCAGAACAAGATCGATTTCTTAACGCTTAACTACTATTTTACAAGCTATTACCATTTGAAGGATAACTTGCGACATGCAAATAACTGAACTAACATGTACCTCTCGCTATCAAATGAAATATCAACGTATTCAACAACATCTGGGGCTTCAACAATAGACATAGTCCCACTGTCGAATGCCTTTCCCTTATCCTTATCAATTAAACCATCTACTTTCTTTCCGTTTAGTGCCTCATCCACTTCAGTCACCTTCTCCTTGCCCTTCTTTGTTGATTGATTCTCCTTAAAAGCAAGATAATTGAGGTCACTTCACATTCTTTTCTGTACTACATCCACTTCTTCCAGTCCAATACGATTACTGCCAAAATATATAGGGTTAATGTTGAACATCACACAACATAGGAATCAAACATGCAAACACAAATAAACCCTAAACAACACACATACTTAACATATATGTGCTAGATTTACCAAGATTTCATGTTTCTGTGGTTATAAACCCTAAAACCATAAACAACCTTTTTATCAGAGGAAACAATATTCAATAAAAATACATGCTACTGTATTTTAGTCATTTCTAAACTAGGGTAACATAAATAACTACATCCTTTCAGACATGCACGATGAATGAAATTACACTGATGGATTCTCCTCAATCATCAGTAATGGTTTCCACAGTGCATTCGCGACCATCCTTGAGTAGCGTGACGACATAGTAGCAGAGAAACGTTACACAGACTGTGGTTGCTCGAAACTGGGGGGAGTTAGTGAGAACGTTCGCAGAGGGAACTATATGATGTGAACTTACCTCTGAATATATGTAACGTGTACACTTTAACAATTTCACACCTTTTTGAGACGTTGTTAATTATTTTATTTCTTATTTTTTTTATTCATTACATTCACTCTTCTTTTTAATTTGGTAGATTAGTTTTACATAACCCCACATAAATCTTAAACAAATGTTTTCAAAAGTTTATTTATTTCTATTAACATCACTTATATTGTATCATATTTTTAATATTTTTTTAATGCCATAAATGTTTCGATAAAAAACAAGGGTTTTTTTTTTTAATTTGTGTAATTCTATATTAATATTTATTTATTATTTTTATAATTAATAATTTTTTTTTAAAGTTTTTATACGAAAACCTTTTATGTATTACATGACATGAACATATTTTTCTGTTATACACGATCCAACACACATCAAAATCTGTGTGAATGCACGTATTTTTTAATAGTTTAAAATATAACACAAAAACCAAAAAAGTGACACAAGAAAACGAGTATTGAAAAACAAATAGAATTACGAATTCAACTTATATGTTATTTCTTTTCCTAAATTTTATTAAAAAGAAGTATAATTGTATTAATAACTCTATTTTGTACATGTTAAACTAGATGCTATGTTCACACGTTTTTCATTTACTCGGTAGTACCTACCTCTCTCCACATTTTTCATTGCAACATAGTGTATGTTTGGTTTGATTTTTGGAAGAACTAAAAATAATTTTAAAGTTGTAGAATTGATTCTTAGAGATTTTAAAATGTTTGGTTAGAAAAATATAGAATTGATCCTGTTTCTAAAATTAATTCTATTTGAAATTAAAATTTGTGGTTTCTGTCTTTAGAATTAATTTTAGACAATTTTTACTGAAATTTATTATTCAACTCACTTTTACATAAATATATTTAAATGTAAATCAATCATGTTAAACTCAATTCTGTTAGAATCAATTCTACTAAACTCCATTCTATTAAAACCAATTCTACTCATCGTTAATCTAAACACACCCATAATATAAAAGAAAGAGAGTAATCAATCTCATTTGTGATCAAAACATGTAATCATAGGCTAGGCCTAGGGTGGCTTGATTTGTTTGACTTGAAATGAACACACCAATATTTTTGTCAAATACTTTGAATTGAAGAGCCAAAATAATGTGAATGTTAACAAAATATTTTTCCAGCGTTAAATAAACGTGTTTTAAAATTATTTTTTATTTAATTAAATTTAATAAATTATTATTAAATTAATGATTTGTTTAACATCCTAATTCACATTTACTCTTAACATTTACTCTTAACGTACAAAGTTATATTTCCTCAAAAGTAATATGGTGAACATTTGAGCACCTTTCAATTTAATTGTATACTAGTACCGTTAATCAATTAAATAGAATAATTTAATTTCATATTATTTTTTATTTTTAAAATAAATTTAAATTTAAAAATAATTTATATTAAAGTACCGATATGCAATTACTTATCATAATAATTAAAAATTTATTAAATAATATTTTACATGTCACACGCAGTAAAATTTAATATATTTTTGGCTTAAATGCAGTTTTAACCCCTATTTATATTTTTTTGAATTTTTGAGTTCCATTTTCAAAATTCAACATTTTAGTTTCCAAATATACTATTTTTTAGTATTTTTTTAGCCCCCTTCTAGAAATGCATATGTGACACATAAAAATGCTCAGTTGTTCAAATGGCCATGGTGCCACGTAAACCCAGATCCTCTCTTGCCCTAAGATCATTCTCTATTGTCCTAATGCTTTCCGGCCTTCATTCTCTCTTGCGTTAATCCTTTCTTGAAGGAATCATCTCTTGCGCAACGATCTTAGTTCTTCAGATTCATTCTTCAAGGATCTTCATCTTCTACTGTTCTTCGGCTTCGTTCGTTCTTCAGTTACCATGTCTCAATATTCTGAAGCAATTAGTCGAACCAAACTTCTCTCCGTCCATGACAAATGTAGATGTGGTCTCGATGAACCATTGATGACATTATGGACTGATGCTAACCCAGAATGTCGTTTTTACGGGTGTGAGATGTACAAGGTTATAAGCTATCAAAGCTTATGTAAATTTCATCTGTAATTTTCACCAATTATCACTGAGAATTGCTATAAATTTCTTCTGTAAATTTGTGTAAGTTCGGGGGTATAAGCGATGCAATCATTTTGTTTGATATAATGAAGAAAAAAAGTCTAAAAAGAGTGGCAATAACAAAAAGTCTAAAAAAGATGGCCAAGGAAAGAAAAAAAGACAACTCAAATTGAGAACATCTCCAATAGTGAGATTTAGTGATCTTATTTATGAGACAACTTCGCTATCCATTACAAAAAATTAAATAATGTACATTTCACCAATCACATTATAACATTTTATTTTATTATTTATTAAATGAGATACTTTTTGATTGTTTTCAATATATTTTACTTTAAGGGTAATTCTACTCAATATTTTGTGTTGGGTTGATAAAAACTCTTTTTTTTTTTTTTAAGTTTCGTTGTTGATGTGACAATATTGATTGTTTATATTTAAAGAATGGAATTTGTTGAAGTAATTTGAAAAATAGAGAATTTAACATGAAATATTATTAATTTTAGAGAAAAACTAACAAGTGTTCTAGAAGCACTCATTCAGAATTTAAAAAATTTATTTTTTATTTTTGTTTGAAAACACTTGTATTTAATATATTGAAAATTAAAACAATTAGTTTATTTATAAAAAAAATTTAAAAGACTTGAATTTGATGTAATAGTTTTTTTTATTTAGAATTCTTAAAAAGTGACCATGAAACACTCGTCAACATGACTCTAATTTAATTAAAAAATAGTTATCAAAATATAATACAAATTAAATAATATAGATTAATTGGATCTAATATATATTGCTTATTTATAATTACTATTAGAGAAAAATAATTAAAATTACTTAGAGATTGCTTAAATACAATATGATAATATAGACCCAGAAAATGTGAGTTATGACAACCAAAAATCTTCCTCCCGTCTCTTACTCTCTCGTCTTCTTTCTCTCGTCTCAAACTTCTTGCATTTCAATCGCACCCTACACTTTTTTCATTGCAATTGTGTAAGAGAATAAATCAATTTTATTTGTAACCAAAACTTATAATCATAGGCTAGGTGTCACTCGATTTGTTTGACTTAAAGATGAATACCAACACTATTTGAAATGAAGAGGCAAAATAAAGAGAACAATAATGCTATTTTTACAGCCACATTTTACATCTACATCATATTTTATTGTTCATCAATACGATAAATAGTATGATATTGTAATAATAAAATATTTTAAAAATATTTTTTTTTATTTTATGTTTTTTTAAATTAAAGAAATATGATTATATAATTAATCAATTTTATGATATTTTAAATTTTATTAATCAATTTCATAATTATTAAAAATATGAATGTTTATCAACTAACTTCATAATTTCATTAATCAATATTTTATATTATATTAACCAATTTTATTTTAATATTAAAAATTATTTTTAATATTTGAGTATTTATTAATCAACTTTATTAACCAACATTTTATATTTTATTAACCAACTTTATTTTATTATTAAAAATTATTTTTAATATCTGAATATTTATTAATCAAATTCATCAATTTATTAACCAACTTTTTACATTTCATTAATTTATTTTATTTTATCATTAAAAATTATTATTCATATTATATTAAAAAGTTAAAATAACAATCCTTTTAAAATAAATTTTTATTTATTAAAATAAATGTCATTTTAAAATAGAGAGAATAATTCTATACACGTGGCCAAAGTTTAATATATTTTAATATTTCATCATAGACATTGTGTCTATAAATACCCTTCACATTCATAACCAAAAATGCAAGTCCTTCCAACTGTGTTGTCTAGAAAGAAATATAAAATATGGCTGTTAACTTCCTTTTGTTTGTGTTCTTTTTAGCTAGTCAGTTTATTGCTGGATTTACCACTGAGCTACCACCTTCTGAATATGGAAATGTAGTCACCATTCTGAGTATTGATGGTGGTGGTATTAAAGGAATTATTCCAGCAGTAATTCTTAACCATTTGGAAAAGGCTCTTCAGGTCAATAATATACATTATATTATTACTATTATTATTAATATTACTAGCAAATGTATATTATCATCTTTTGCATGTTACTACATATATTCATGCAACCACACTCTTTTTCTATTTATTTCCTAATATTTTAATAGACATTATTTTCAAACACATGTGCAATATATACAATATATAGTTTAATATTCATGCAATATATACAATATTGCATGAATATTAAATTATACTATCATTTCAGATCTGATGTATATATTCAATAGTATAAATGTTGAAAAATTGTATTGCATGCAGGTTAAGGATAAAGAAGCATCACTTGCAAAATATTTTGATGTGATAGCAGGGACGAGTACCGGAGGGCTTGTGACTGGTATGCTCACTGCTCCTCATCCAGAAGACCCTACTCGTCCTCTATTCACTGCTGAAGAAATTATCAAATTCTACATCGAATCCGGTCCTTCAATATTCAACGAAACTAGGTATAATTGAAATATATACATAATTCACTTAAGAGGATTCAAAATCAATATCTTCAAGTTATAGACCAAATGCCCAGTATATATGAAAGTGATTAATTATTATTACATGCACTTTACCTGTAGTCAAAAGAAAGAAAAATGATATTCTTACACTAAATCTATATACCTATACCGTATTTCACAGTTCACAAATATAATAAAATATTATAATAATAATTTGTTTTTTTAAAATAATTTTTTATTATTTTTTATTGAAGGAGTACGAAAACATAATTATGTGATTAATAAACTTTAAAACTTCATTAAATAATATTTTAAATTTCATTAACCAACTTCATAATTACTAAAAATCTAAATATTTTATTAACCAACTTCATAATTTCATTAATCAATTTTTTATAATTCAATAACCAACTTTGTTTTACTACTAAAAATTAATTTTAATATCAGTATGTTTATTAACCAACTTAATCACTTTATTAATCAACTTTATTTTACTGTTAAAAGGCATTATTCACATACTATTTACGAACACGGTTAACTGGTACTGTTTATGAATATTACTGTTCACTATTTAATATTATTTTATTAAAAAAACAATATTCACTCAGATATTAGTGTAGGAAAAGGTTATAGGAATAACAAAGCTGTAGTAAAAAATATCATATTATTGAGTGATCTTATATATGATTGAACAATATTATAACATTATACAGTGGTTGGAGTCTTATCTACCGTGGTCCAAAGTATGATGGCAAGTTCCTACATAGTTTAGCAAGTGAGTTATTGAAAGATACAAAACTGAGTCAAACATTAACCAATGTTGTTATCCCAACATTTGACATCAAGAAGTTTCATCCTGTTATCTTCTCAAAATTCAAGGTACTTACTTACTTGGAATACATAACTTATAATCTTTTCTGTTTTATTGAATCATAAATGATTATATTTACAACTTTGGTTATATGTTTATATGAAGGTGAACACAGTTCCAAGCTTAGATGCAAAATTGTCAGATATATGCATTGGAACTTCAGCTGCACCATTGGCACTGCCACCCCATTACTTTGAAAATGATGGTGATGAATTCAATTTGGTTGATGGAGGTGCTGCTGCAACTAATCCGGTAATTTTAAAATTTTCAAAAATGATCCCTATATTTTTCTAATTTTACAAATTGGTCCCTAAAATTTTCAAATTTGCAAATTGGTCCATGTTGTGTCATTTCTAGGCTATGTCTGCTGTGAGTGAAGTAATGAAACAGAAAGGAGGGAGGCCTACAAAAATATTGTTGTTGTCTCTAGGATGTGGAACTAGAGAGTCTACAAGTATTAATGCTAAGGATGCAATGAATTTTTCAGTATTAGATTGGGGATTACATGGTCAGCCACTTGGTGCTTATGATTCTGCTTCTAAAGATATGAGTGAATATTACCTTGCCAATGCCTTCCCAAACCTCCAATCTTCTCACAACTACCTCAGAATTCAGGTATAGTGTTTTACATGAAGTTCATTTCTCTCTACAACAAGAATACTTGTTGTTCTAACGAAAAAATGGATCTTAATGTGCAGGAATATAACATGGACCCATCCAATGATGCCATTGATAATGCTACAATAGCTAACATGGAAAAACTTGTAAAGGTAGGAGAGAGCCTTCTGAACCAACAAGTTTTGAAAATGAATGTGGATACCTATAAGCCAGAAGAAAAAGCAAACCAAGGTACAAATTCTGAGGCTCTTGATAAGTTGGCTGAGACTTTATACAAAGTGAAGCAGTTTCGTCAGAAGAAGAATATGATGGAGAAGTTTATGGGACGACCACTTCTTAAAACTATCCCAAACCCTTTTGCTACTACAAGTTAGGAATGAGGAGTGTAATGGAATAAATACCAAGTTCATATGCTTGCATAATTAAGCTAGACAGTTTATAGTTAATTGAACAAGTTTATAAGCTTGTTTAATCAAAAATATGTATGCATGAGCATGATGTAACTTAAGCATATCAATAAATAAATTGTGGTTTAATGTTTCAAATGTTCATCTGGCCCTCTAAATTTTTTTTTTATTAAAGCAAGTTATTTCACTTACATTATAGACATTACATATTTAAACATCTACTAACAATTGTGAACAAGTTAAAGATATGATTAGGGGTAGCATTAGGTTTTGGATGTAGCAAAAGAAACTAAACTCCCATAATATTGATAAAGTAATATTTAAATGAGAAACATATGCATATATTTAATGCTCAACAATATTACTATAATAAGGAGGTCAAGAACAATATACAAGCAAGAGACGACACTACACGTGCATCAACAATATTAAGGTATTAGGTATGTCACTTCTTTCACTTATAAAGTTTTCAATTTTTATTTTTTCTATGTGAAACTTCTAACTCACATTTGTATTAGAGCAAATCTTACTCTTAAGTGTGAGTCCATTCACTTATTTACTTTTCCTCAAATAAAAATTCTATCATCCACATATATTTGTACTATTATTAACACTCTTGCAATGTCACATGTACTTCAATCGGACATGTTATCTAACCACCACCTTGTGAGGAGACTTTGGATACAAAAAACCAGTCTCTTAATTAAACCATCGACTCTGATACTAGTTTTCGACTAATATTAATTGCACTAATAATTTTATAAGATTTCGATAGTGAATCCAACAAACTTAGTGATTGCTCTAATAGGTATTGATCAATCTCTTAATGAAAATCAATTAATAGTAGACAAAAGAGGATAGAAAAGAGTTATGGTGATCAATATTGTAGAGTTTTTAACAAAGATATGAGTTATTCCAGGCATCAAAAACTCTAAAAAATTTGATTACATCCAATTTAGATGTCCAAAATTCATGGGTTGAGTATGATATTATTGTAACCCTAATTTATCAGAAAAAAATGGAATATAGTTTCTTTATAGTCACAAGGGTAGAAACCATTGACCCAATTCTGTTAACAAAGATTCATCATGTCTATCATCTTTTATTTTTATTTCTATTTAATACTTTATATTTGTTGATGTTCTAACAATTGGTATCAAATATAGATTAACCATTGTGCGAAATTTAAGGTGGCAAGGTTCTACAAGATGAGTAATTTTAAATTATGAGAAATGAGGGTTAACGATCGGTTAGTTCAGTAAAGTTTACAGAAGGCGATGCGTGGGATGAAACCAATCGATAAGGAGGATATTGATTGGGAAGAGATGAAGTAGAAGGTTGCATGATTGATTCACCTATGTGATTTAGACGAGGTGGTGTATCATATATTAGACCTAATGACAACTGTAATATGGTGGAAGAAATGACTTTTTGGTTTTATCCAAAATATGTGGATAGTTAGAGTCTCCACCGACTTTTCCTTTATCCAATATTTAGGAAAGGTGAAAAGAACAAGAAAGACCTTTAATAAATTTTGAATTCGGGGGGGGGGGGGGGGGGATATGAAAAGGGAAGGTGTTACACTACGCCGAAAAAGACTTACGAAAGCGCTTTTTTTGGCCTTTAAAAGCGCTTTCGTAGGTGGCGCTGCTATAGGTTTTAGCAGCGCTTTTTGTTTAATGAAAAGCGCTTTCGTAGGTCTACCTAATACAACACTTTTTCTAAAAAGCGCTTTCATAGGTCTACCTAAGGCAGCGCTTTTTTCTGGAAAAACGCTCTCATAAATTTTCTTTTAGCAACGCTTTTTTCTGGAAAAGCGCTGTCTTAGGTAGGCTTTTAGAAACGCTTTTTTCTGGAAAAACACTTTCATAGATGGTCTTTTAGCAGCGCTTTTGCCTGGAAAAGCGCTGTCATATGTTTACCTTAGACAACGCTTTTTGTGAAAAAGCGCTTTCATAGGTTACATAAGGCAGCGTTTTTCTTGAAAAAGCGCTTTCATAGGGTGTTTTTTTTAGAGGTATAATTTATATAATTCATATACCTGCATTGTTTGCAGCATATTATTTATATAAACCAGTTTCCATAACCTGTAATTCATAAACCGCGGTAATACATTGTATACCATTGTAATCCAAAATATATGTACACCATTTTTGTACCTCAAAATATATAAAAACCATTGTTATCAGCATTGTAACTCAAAATCAGTCTTACAAAATCAACCCTAACAACAACTAAACCAGTCCTAATGTATGAAAGAAACACGGTCAATTATGTATTAAGGTCCTGGTCCTGCGAGGTTGAACATAATAACACGGTCAATATGGTATTCCATGTACACATGTAACGTATTCATAACACTTTTCACATAATAATGTATTCATACCTTATATGATTCTCTGCTCAATAAAATATTGACACAATTCCTCTTTGATTTCTTCCAACTGAAGTTTCGTGTAATATGCACATTTGTATTCATCGAAGTACTACATAACAAAACATAATATGCATGATTTAGTTAAAAGTAAAAAATTATATGAAATATCTGAGAAATAATAAAACAAATCCTAAGTTATAAATCCATACCGTGATTGGAATCTCTATTTGATTCAGTTGAAGGATTTCTTTGATAAACCGCATAACGAAGTATCTGCAATCTATATTGTTTTGCTGTTGAGGACACTACATAGAAAAACAAATAAGAATATATAGTTGTATTGTTTTATCAAATAACATAAATATTATAAGCAAAATAGTGGAAATTAATATACCTGCACTTTGATCCAATTAATGTTGTTTGATTTAGACCGTCGTACCCGAGCTTCTCTTTGACACCGAAATACTTGTATCGCTCTAACAAAATAAAAATATATTTAGAACAATGTCACAGAAATAATTAAATATATAAATACACACAAATATTTAGAATAATCTCACTTACGTATCAATCATTAACTTCATATCCGGATAATTTGTCCAATCACCGTCAACCGAATTCAGATAATAGACCACTTCTTTTATAGGATCGATAGCAACCAACAACCAGTGACGTCTATAAATTAAAACAACAGTTTAGAAGAAAATTTTCTACGCAAAAATTACAAATATTAAAATGAACTTAGAATGAAATCTAACCCTTTAGGAATAGTATTATACGCCCAAAGATATAAGCTTTCTGTACTGCCAGTTGCCATGAATCTTTCGACTAAGTGCTCTCTTACTGAATCTGGTTCCCTACCAATTGTCGCTCCGCTGACACGGGAGGAAGACACGAAATGGAATCTATTTGACAATTGATTCCTGTTGTACCCTAAAATTTTCCCTCCCATTTCCTCAATATTTTCTCACCACAAGACCCTTGGAGCTCAAGATCAAGCTAGGGTTTGCCCTGCTCAAGACTTCTCCTTGCACTGTTGACCCAAATTAGGGTTTGAGTTTGCACAAAGATGTTTTGACCTAAAAGGCCCAAAGTGACTTTCATGCTTCATGTTGGACTCACAAGTCTATCCATACCAAGTTTCAAGCCTTGATTCCAATTTTTGCCCAGTCAATTGGACAGTTGACCTAGAAATTAGTTGTATTGGGGAAAAAGTCAACTGTGGTCAATTGACAGTCAAACTTCATGATTTTTGCCCCACATAAATATTATGAACTCATATGAACCATTTGGTCAAGTTTGGATCACAATTCCACAAGAAATTTGATCAGATCACCAAAAGGGCAAAATGGTCATTTTTAGGGTTTTGACGGCACGAAGGCAATTTTTGACTGTTTGACCTAGCCAATGGCAAACCAAGCTCACATATGGACTCAAGGACCCAATGGCATTGTATTGACATGTTCAACAAGTTCAAAAGATCCCAAATGCACAAGATTGACAGATGAATTTTCCAGTCAACTGAGCCAAATTTGATTGTATATTGAAAAGTCAAACTTTGACTTTTTGGTCAAAATCAAGTGTCAAGATTCATTTTTCATCAAAACATGCCAAATTGTGAAACTTGTTCATCAAGAAACCAAGAATTACAAATTAGGGTTTGAAATGAAGAATTTTCATAACTTAGAATTTTTCTAAGTTATGAAAATTCCTAATTTTTTCCTAACTTTGTCCCATTTTATCATCAAGATACATTTGGATTCAAGGAAAACTCAAAACATGAAAGTTATAGTCCATTGCAAAATCTACAACTTTGATTCACAAAGTTTCCTCAAAATAAGCTTGTAGCTCAAGTTATGAGTTTTGGAACAAGGGTGCAAAACATTCTTAACTTAGAAATATTTTGACCTATTTTAGGCAGGATTTTTGCCTAACTTCATGACCACTTTTCACATGCTTCCACTTGGAATTTAAAATTGCATTACAAAGATGGATTGTAGTACACATTCCAAGCTTTCCAAAATGTCCAAGAACTTCTCAAACACCCTTGTGGTTAGGGAGAATCGAATTTGTCAATATGGGCAAAAGTCACTTTGATTCATGGCCAAAGGCATGTTCATAACTTTGCATTTTTGAAATCAGCATGGTTAAAGCTAGTTACAGGCCTCTAATATCATTTACACTCAATAATTAAATGGCAATCCATTGTGTTCTAGCATCATTTTGTGCATTTGGACATTACATGAAGAATTAAGCCATATTTGGAAAAAGCAAGTTATCCATTCTTGTAAAGCATGGCTTTATGTCAAAAGCAAATCAAAGAAGTACCAAAGCATATATTCTAGGCACAAGTTCAGGAACTAATCACACTGATCAAGAGGGATTGGTGCAGCATGTTTAGGGGGCCTGCATAAGCATGTAACCCAACTTGGCAACTTTTGCTTACAATAGAAGAAACTTGGCATATTGAACAACAACTCACATTCCTGTCAACACAAGCCTAAGCAAACTTATTGAACACATTCCAAACATCAAACCTGACCTGAAACACGAGCCAACCACCTTCAATACCTCCCCAAACACAGAAACA